GTTGCAACCTAACACTACTTACTTTGTTGTGAGACCAAACAACCCCACAGGCATTATTAATATATTTTCCAATTGGTTTTTATCTGTGACAGAAAATTACAGCTAAGTATGGACAGCAAGCCAAAAGTTCTAGCCATAAAGCGAAACAAATCAATTGGCCAATAAAATGAACCCCAAATGAATCTAACTGACAATCTTTAGAGGTGGTCTGAGTATGGTTCACTTGTGGGCCATATTAGATGGGTCTGAGTTCACATATGCCCAAAAAAACGCTGAGTCATATATCTGAGATTACTTTAAATGCTAAAATGGACCAAGTGATGATAAATGAAATGAATCGACAAATCATTCCAGAAAGTGTGCGTGGTTATATTTGAATTCGGTTCAGTGCTCATCTTCATAACCACAAGATGGCTCTCTCGTCCACTCTTTTTGAACAGTATATAAATTGCTGGTGTCAAGGAAAAGGGCTCAGATTTATAGCTTCTAAGAGACTGCCATTTGCCCTATGGGCTCTTTTTTGTAGACACAGATTATTCCTAGTCCTGGTCTAAATTGCACTGTCAATGAGGTTTCTGCAGTAAAATCCACCATTAAATTTTAGTCTAGGATTTGTCTGTGTCTAGAACAATGAGAGAGCTACATTACATAAATTTATGCATGGTATATAAAATGAGTGGTAAAAGTCTTTAGTATTCTGCTCTAGGTTAGACTAGTGATAAAAGCAGACTGGACATAAACCTTTAAATCATCTGCAGGGCTTTTATTTCTCTGACAGATTCAGTGTTGAATCTGTCAACAGGACAAGACTTCCTCCTCCAGGGTTACCAAATCACACTCACACCTAGTCATACACACACACACACACACACACACACACACAAAAAAAAAAAAAAAAAGCTTGATTCTTGGGGCCTAGTGTGTCAATAAATTCAAACTATCCAGCCAGTGGCAGTGGGTGAGGGCATTAAGCGGGCTGGACAGTGGCAATGATTGAGTAGTAGTGATAATATTTGTGCAGTCTCCTGCTCCTCTGAGATGAGCCAGCGATGCTATCTTGCACAGTCTGGCCCAGACCCGATTTATAGTGGCGCTTTCTCTGTTTGCCCAGGGATCAGCACTATATGAGCTCTGTGTCAATGCACTATGCTCTCTGTCTGCTTTCTCTACTGGATATGCCTCAGCTAAAACCCAAACAGGACTCTTCTGCTCCTCCTCATGCATTTTCTTACGTTTTCCATCAGTTTCTAATCCCTCTCATCCTCATTCACTCACACTCAGTCGATTTCAGCCCCCTCTTTCTCATTTCTCTTCTCTCGCTCTGAATTTCCTGTTTTCTGTTGACTTTTTATTGCGTAAGACCCCCTTAACGGTAAATTGAAATTTCACGGCCTCCCTCTAAAGATTTAAATATCTAAATATTTGGTGTATTATTTTTAAATGTGTAATGTGTAATATTTTGGCTATGTACTAGAGCTACTAGAGCTTTTATTTCCTCAGCACTGTTCAAATTGTCATCAGGTCCAAGCTGACATTATCTATAGGCCTTCTCATTTTTGACTTATTACGGTTTGGATTAAATCCATTCAATTCAGGTCACCAGTCAAATAGACTAATAAGGGTAGGAACCTAATAAAATATAATTACTTTCACAAAGGTGGGTTGTGAATTTCATCACTGTAACAAAATTTTAAAATCACAGACCCCTGAATATATTTCACAGACCTCTGGGTTTCCGCCAACCCCACACTGAGAACCATGGGCCTCATCAACATCTTTGCCATAGATAAGAGTTATGTGATATTATTTTATTGCCGAAATTGCTTTTAACAATATATTAAAATGTAGCATAGTTATTGCAGGATTTATTGCTCCTTTTAGAAACATAAAATCTAAAGAAATACCTCCACTCCTAATAAATGGGCTTCCTTTTGCTGTATTTCTTTTTATTTTTTTTAAAAATAAATTCATTAATTCAGAAGAACCTGGTTAAATTGAAAAGACTAGGGCTTGTTGTTTTTTTCAGCCGTAACAAACCTGCTGGAGCCGATTCCTTTCCATGGTTTAAATTCAATACCACTTACTGTGGGAAAATAAATACTGGTAAAACATAGAAATCTTTTACATTTCTCCCCTAGTTTGTGCAACTGTTTTGTGTGATCCTGTGTGGAGAACTTTGGACCCCTCATCTCATCAAAGCTTGGGTGCATGTTCTGCTTCGTTCTTTAATCAGAAGGCTCAACAAAGTTGCTTCAATTGGCATGGGCTCTGTGGTGTCTTGCCCTCCTTGTCCTTCTGTTTCCTTCCACTAGATGTTGCTGTGACTCCCTGTTGGACTGTAGAGTCATTGAAACTAAAACATGATTTCCTTGTTTTTTTTTTTTTTTTTTTGTCCAGTAAAAAAAATCTAACTTCTATCCCACAATGGACGTGAACGGGGGATACCACCACACAACTCCCCTTTTCCATTTATTATGTCCTCCGGAAGAAAAGTTTGGTTCAGTTCTCTTCATGTGTTCCCAGTGAGGAGCATAGCTGTGTCTGACTTTCTATAAAGAGCTGAATATAATGCTTTCCATCACTCATTAAAGGAGGTGAGAAGGCATTGCTGCTCCTTTTCCCTGCTTACCATCAAGTGTCATTAAAATTTGAGTGAACTTCTAATAAGTGCTAAATGATCACACACTCCTGATGCTGTATCATTAACCTTGGTTGAGGGTGAGGGAAGAAAGCAGAAACAGAACTAGGGAAGAAAGATCCATATTTGGCCCAGGGAAGATGGGATTAGCGAACAGAGGGGTGTCTTGGATCAGTGCGAGATGGTGAGAGGCGGTTTGGTTTGCAGGTCATGGAACCGTGGTTGACGTTGTTTCTGTCGCGGCTCAGCTGGAGGTCGGACCTGAATAGCACTGAGTCATCAGACGTGGGTAGATGTTGTGCTGTAGTCAGTGGCAGGGAGGGGACGATGGAGGCGGCCACCGAGAGGCCATGCTAAACGACATGCTAATCTGGCAGCTTTAAAGTCCTGTTGCATTTTAACAGGTGCTCTCTCTCTCTGTCTCTCTCTCTCTCTCTCTCTCTCTCTCTAAATCTCACTCTCTCACTCCATCGTTCTCTCTTACTCAGTCTCTCTCTCCCACTCCATCCACTCAGATTTATTGTATGCAGTCATGATCAGAGAGAAAAACGAAAGAACTGCACTTCTGCTTGCCAACTGGTTACCATGGTGCCCGCTCTCATTTTGATCTTGAAGTACAGATAATTAAATAAGAGAGAGAGAGAAATAGAGAGACAGACACACAGATACGGACAGTGAAAAAGAGAAGAGGTGGAGAGGTAGAATGTCTTGCCTTTACGTGAACCAACTAACATAACTAGATCCCATAAAGAAGGCTGAACCTGATTCTACTCTATGCAGTGCCTTAGATATGTACACTTTTATGTATGCTTGTAAGAGAGCACAGCAATTCTTCAATACGAGTGATAACACTGTCTAACTGATCCGCTTCTCGTCTCTTACATGTGTTTTATTATTATTTACCTGACATACAAGCATGTACATATTAATAAATATGACTTTAAATCAATGGTAAAAAGAATTAATATCTGTTATCCTGGTAACAAGGGTGTGTGTGTGTGTGTGTGTGTGTGTGTACACAAGGTCCCAGAAAAGATTGTCTGCATTTTAGAGGCAAAGTGCACATTAGAAAGAAGCTGGGAAGGGGAGTGGAAAGAGTTTAGTATTTATAGAATTTTGAGTGGAAAGAGTTTAGTATTTATGGATTTTTTATTACCTAAAACACCTTCATTTTTCATTTATTTTCCCCCCAATATCAGACCCCATGATAACCTCTCTCAAGTGCATTCATTATTTTTTTTCAATGCTTTTACAAAAATGCACACTATTTCTGCCTATGTTTGTGAATGTGTCCCCTGAGTGATGGTACAGAGAAGAACAGAGACAGTGCCAGTTATCGAACCTCGGGCATGGTGGATTTTGGCTGAGGTGGCTGCTGAAGCAATCGATCAGCATGACTGAGTAGAGAGAAGGGAAGGGGAAAAAGTAGTGAGCTTGTTTTAATGACTGAAAGACTATGAGGGAGGGGCAAGAGGAGATGCACTGGGTTAAACTCAGCAACTTTTTCCTCTCTTCTGAGATACCCACAACTGCTGTGATTATTGGCATTTGTAAAGAAATATATCACAGACAGATCGATTACTTAGTGTCCCATAGCATGCTGGCTTAAAGGGATGCAAGGGCAACATTTGGCACAGCTTCAGGATATGTACAAAGCAGAGTGAGTGGATCAAGCGGATTATAGGGATCCACCTTTAAGGGGATAGAATAATAAAACTTCACAGAACACAGAAGTGTTCTGTAAGTGACAATATGTTATTTAGGCAAGTGCCTTGGAGTGAGACACTGTTCTGCAAGGTACACTTCTTCACAACTTTGGTCACAATGTTGGTCTCATGGAAAAGGGGGAGGAGTAAAAATGCAGAAGACACTAAAAAATGTCACAATACATTTTTGACATAGTCCTTTTACATATTGCTTGTCTAATATTCCTCATGGAAACTGTGAAAAGCTTCCACATGGCTGACATTTTCACTGTTGATCTGCTGCTTCTCAAACTGTTTGAACGTCTGTGATGACTGGCGCAGAACAGCAAACAGAGTTTTTAATTCTCTTTGTATTTATCATTACCATTAAAATTATTTGTAAAGTGTTAGCTTTGACACTTTGTTGTAGGCCTAGTTAATCTTTTCTCAGAAATGCTGTTTTCAACTCCAGTGTTAGCTGATAATGTAACAGAGAAAGCATGAGGTAATTATTAACTAGCTAGAATGTAGCAACCCAAAATTAGGTAACTCAGTGCTGACTGTAAGAATAATTATGTTATGTATTAAAAAATGCATTTTCTTTTATTATTTATTACAAGAATCCAGTAATATTTTCTCCTCATATAATGTTAGGTACCATACTTTTTGTCAGCGGATACCTGGAGGACTAGTGGTTAGGCCGTGGTGCTTTCACTGCCACGGCCCAGGTTTGATTCTCAGCCAGGGAACCAACCGCAGCCACTGGTGTTACACATGACAGTGCTCTCACAGTGCCAGTCCCAAGCCCAGTAAAAAATGGGGAGGGTTGTGACAGGAAGGGCATCCAGCATAAAAACTGTGCCAAATCAAATATGTAGACCAATGATCTGCTGTGGAGGCCCCTAACGGGAGCAGCCAGAAGAAGAAGAAGAAGAAGAAGAAGAAGAAGAAGAACAACAACAACAACAACCATACTTTTTGTCAGAAGGCTAACACTGGCTACTACACATTAAAAACTACAGACATATTAACTACTCATTAAATTTTTTTTGCCTATGTAATGTCTACAAAAATCAAATCTGGTTGCTACTCTCTCTTGACAGATGCAGTGGAAAATTCCAGAAAATGAATCTTGATGCATTGTGCCTGTTTCCTTTTAGGTCTGGATCCAGCAAGATAAACCCAGCATTTGAGTTGTATAAAAATGACCCAACATTTTTACAGAGTATTTCACTGATGTTAACTATATACTTTTCTTATGTTAGCAAAGTCAAACTTTATGTATAGCCAGACTTTATTTCACATTAATGAACTTAAAACATTCCCCATTTTCCTTGACAGAAAGCAAGGGTGCTGCAAGTGGGAAGATTGAGGTGAGATTACTAATGTGAGATGGGGGAAGGGGTGGGGCTTTCAGGGGGTCCGTTAATATTGGAGAGTTCAAAACACATACACAATTGTCAATACCAGATTCCAGATTGGGGGTCAAAACTGGCATATTTTTGAGTGATAAATTGAACCCAAAGTTAACATACTCTAATGTTAAAATATGGAGCTCCTGCACAAAATGCATGAAGGTTGGCAGCTTTAATATGTTTTTCTGATGTATATTGAGAAGCCAGGAAATCCAGATAAGCTGTGGCCCTTTGACTGCAATGGTTGCAGGGGAAATTGTTATTACACAGAGATCTGGCTTTTCAGCAGGGAATGTTCACTCAGTCAGAGATGAGCAGGCAGGAATGCCGAGTGCACCTAAGCTAAGGATAGGAAGCTGAGATAACATAATCCACTCAGCGTGCATTTCGCAGCAATATCAAGCTGCACTGCGTTCACCACATCAGCATTACGGTGCGAACCATTGAGCAGGAAAACAACATAAACAACATCAAGGATCACCCCAGCACCCATCCCCTTTCCCAAGGATCGTGTTTAAGACCTTCATGAGTTATGAATCCTCCACTTAGCAAAAATGGTCAACAGGGACAGGGATGGAAAGGAGATTCACCCTAATCAGTTTTGTTTTTCTTCAGCCATTCTTAAGGATTACATTGAAGACTGTTTGCCTTTGCTCCCTCTCTTTTCAATCTGTTGGATTAATGGGCTATAAGGTCATAGAATGAAAGCCTGTTCTATTTCGATAACCGTTTGGGTTTAGGATTATGCACTGCGAGAAGGAAAACTGTGTATAGAAAGTGAGAGATAGAGCAGCAAATAGTCAAGGGGTTCATTACTCAGCCAGTAATGACACCACTGTCTGTTTGAATTGAATTAGTGTGTTCTTCCTCTTGCATTAGGATGTTGCTCTTTCTCATTACTAGTCTTGCCTTGCTCCCTCCAGAGGGTTTTATGCTTTTGTCTGATTACTCCAGCCAGTGGAGCGATTAGCAGGAAGATTTAAGGTTATATCTACTGTGTTGGGAGCTTCAAAGAGCTCCCCCATCAACGCCGTAGTCTAGATACTTACATTATGGTCTGCTGATCCTGCTAAAAATGGAAAAAGATTTCATTTGAAGTCTCAATCAAAGCTCTCAGATGAGCTGAGATGCTCTCTTAAAACTAACCTTACTGGATTAATTCATAAACATGAATTTAAGCATCAATAAAAAATAAGTAATGTTAACACAGTGACAAAGGGAGTTAACCATTCTTTTACCATGTGATGCTGTCTGTTAAGAGTACACTTTGGTTGCTAAGCAGCATAACAGGCAAAGACTAGGGTATTCCATGGACAGAACAATGGATTAAGAGTAATGATATTATCGGTTTAGTAACTGGCACATTAATAAAGAATTCAGCATTTGTGTTGTGGTCACACGGTGTGTATATCAAGGAATTCACAATGGCTTCAAATGTGGTATAGCCATTCAGATTTTAAGGGATATTCAATCCATAACTCAATCCATGAAAATACATAAATCCACATAAATTTGCAACAATTAAATTGCAGCTTATTACATAACCATAAACATGTTCATTAGCATGTTGGTCATTATAGTTCACTGTGTATTCATTGATGGTAAGAACACTCACTGATGGTTCATACATGTGTTGATTATTTGTTTTATTATTTTAAAAAACCCCAAAAAACAATTAATACAAGTGTTAGTTTGTTCACATTACCTGTGGTGTATTATTGCTGAAGTACATGGTTTGTTCATGCTCATTTGTTAAATGATGTCAGATAATTGAATCTTAACATAAAAGTGTTAATATGCTCTGACAGTTTTTAAGATAACAGAAAAAATGGCTCATCGTTTTTAAAAAGCTTATATCTGCCTTAGGAAAGAGGGCAATTGCACCAGGCAGTTTCTGACCAGTCCACACTATATCAGAAATCTAGTCCTTCCTTGTTCATCTCTATTGTCTCTATTGTACTGGGTGCTCCATATGGAGTTGTCCATTCCCCTGTGGAGCAGGTTTCTCAGTTCTGCTCCATGATGGCTTAAGGCCTGGAATGGAGAACGGTCCAACCCATTCAGGTCTCCCAGGCATCAGGGCACGGCCCACCTGGCAAGTGGATAAGCTGTTGATACACCACCTCGCCATTGTGCCTGTGCTCATAATAAGCCATTCTCCAGGCACTAACCCCCCTAGCATCCAAGTAATTGGTCAGACAAACCAGAAGCCCATTTTTCTTTTATTTTTCTTCATCCCTTCCCCATTCAAGCCTCACATAATAAATGCGCAGTGGTCACTGGGGAGGTGGGTGGGCCCTCAGTAATTGGTCAGTTTTCCACTGGAGACCAGCTTCAGTGTTTTGGCTACACCTACGTAGGGGGTGTCTTCAGGAGTTTCCACAGCTAATCACCATGTCGGAATCTATCTCAAACAGAACTGCCAAGCCACAAGAGTCGTTTCAATGGTTATCAGGTCAATTTGTTATGTTACTTGTTCAATTTTTGTTATTTCCAGATCTAACTAGGTGAAGATGCTTTCAGACCTAGTTGTCTGATTGTGTCTGAATCAGAGTGTAAATTGATACTTTTTTTTTTGTTTGCTAATACTTTTTTTTGTTTGCTGATTGTTTTTGGTTTGGTTTTACATATAATTAAATGCCTAAAAGCAAAAAAAAAAAATAGCTGAAGGGTGTGTAGAACTGAAAACATCTTAGTAAAACTCTCATTTATTGGTCATAAATAAGGTGACCCTTAGGGTGCTTTCATATATGCAGTGTTTTTACTACTTTTGAATCAATCCCTGGGGCGTTTTCTCTTTGGCACACTTTGTTTAAACAGATGAGAACACAGCAATTGGGTGTGAACCAAACTAACCGGTCCAAGATCATCTGACCTCTGTGACCTCGGTCCAGTACATTCGAACTCTGGCAAGAAAGTGATTTGACCCTGAATGGACCCAAGTGTACAAAGGGAATCAAACCTGCCATGTGTTTTGAGTTGTGATACGAGCTGCTAAACTGACCTAAAGGACAGAGCAGTAGAACTGAGGAAGTGTGATGTATTTTGGAGATCTGGACTTATCAAGCACTGGCTTCATGTTCTCTGTGCCTGGGTGATTTTTCTGATTTCAATTCATACTTGGTAAAGCTTTGTTTAACGTTTTCCATTGCCATAATTCTGACCAAAGAATGAAAGAATTTTACACGTGCTTTTTCAGCCCTACATGCCCCCCAGCCAGTGTTTTTGTTTTAATAGGTGTGAATGTGCCCTAAGAAAAAGCCATTCCCCTCATATGGCCTTCAACCTGAATAAATCACAAAAAGATGGTGTCTTATGGTACAAAAAAGGAGAATAAATAATCTTCCCCTCTATTACTTGGACATGTTAATTCCCTTATTACCCGAAGGATCTTATGACACAGACACCTTTGATGTTTGTTAAGCATATTTTTGGAAGTAGCCTGCTTTTATCACTCTGGTGCCCTCCTGCTCGAGGTGGAGGATGCTGTGAAGTCAGGCTCCATAGCTGTGCCAGTTAAATACGGCTCTACAAAATTAGGGCCCTCATGGCCTCGTAATGATTCCCTAAGCAGATGAGTAATGTATTGGCCTGTCTGTCGCTTGGCTAACAGAGCTTTGTCTCCTTTAGCTGTGGCCAGGCGACAAATGGCTGACAAATGAGCTGTGTTCGGTGGCAGAGCGTGTGTACAGACCTCAGGTTTGGGACCTTGGTTCTGCCACAGCAGCCCTGGCAGCCACCATGGCACATCCAGTCCTCACAAATGTGTTGGGCTAAAAATGAAACTTGATCCCCTCATTAACTGGGAGAAGAGCTGGCCCATGGGGATCCCACTGTTTCATTCATGGCCTGGGCTCACTCATTACTAACCATAGCTTATCATATAATCAGAGAGGGGTGTTTTTTTTTTGTTTGCCATTCCATGATAAGTAGTCTAGCTCTGTCAGTTGGAAATTGATAGACACTTTTCTTTAGGACACCCCAGGCTCTAAATCAAATTTTTAAATACTCTTTGGTGAGATTTTGCACACCCTTACAGCCAAAGTGGTTTTTAATGGAGGCCTTCACAGGTGCACTCGATAATCTATTTTTGAAAGCAATAAACTTCTCCATATTTTCAACTGTCTACCCAAGCCCTCCATCTGGACTCTTCAGTGTCCCCATCCGCAGGAGACCTGCCCAGAGCACGGCTTCTGTCCTTTGTCAATATGGCAACAGCCGTCACAATTAGTGCTCTTAATTACACAGCAGCCCACAAGGCTTGCCGTTTTCCCCCTCCTCCTTCGAACATTTGTGCTAACACTGTTTAGGGGTCTCTGCATGAATGCATGAAA